TGTCATCGACGTAAGCTATGATGTTTCTATCTAGTTGTGAGCCCAAAACTTCCTTTGTCATTCTGGCAAAGGTTGCACCAGCATTTTTGAGGCCTTCCGGCATTCTGGTGTAGCAATATGTCCCGAATGAAGTTGTGAAACTTGTCTTGTCTTCGTCTTCTTTTTTCATCCAGATTTGGTGGTACCCAGAGAAACAGTCGAGTAGAGAGAACCTCTGGCATCTAGCTACCTTGTCGACGGAGGCATCTATTCTTGGCAATGGGAAAAAGGTCTTTTTTGTAAGCTTTATTCAGATCTGTGAAATCTATGCACATTCTCATTTTGCCATTCTTCTTTGGTACCAGTACTACGTTTGCAAGCCATTCTGAATAATTGACTTCCCTGATCACTTTTGCATCTAGCAATCTTTGCACCTCCGCCTTTGCTGCCAGGATTCTATCCTCTGACATTTTTCTCTGTTTCTGCTTTTTTGGTCTCATGTTTCATTGATGTCCAGTTCATGTTGTATGATGTCCCTGCTGACTCCTTAGAGGTCGGAGGCTGACCAGACGAAGATATCCTTGTTTTTTACTAGAGTTTTCATGAGCTCTTCCTCCTCTGCCTCGCTCAATGCTGAGTTGATTGTTACTTTTCTATCTGGTAACTCCTTTTCTAGAGGGATCAGCTTTGTCTGTTCTTGACCTGTCATGTCTATTTTTCCTCTAGGCATATCCGGAGGTTCTTGTTCTTTGTCTGCCGACTCGACTGCATTGATGTTTCTTTGGGCTCTGTAGATAGCTTTTTCTATATTTCTTTCTTCTTTTTGGCTGCCTCGGACTGTGATAATACCATGGAGTGCTGATATTTTCATGCACAGGTAGGCCATATGCAGTGCTGCGTTGAATTTGGTTGTGAATCCTCTACCCAAGATTGCATTGTATGGGTAATACAAATTGACGACGTCGAAGGTTATGTACTCGGTTCTAGCATTTGCTTGGGTTCCGAACGACACTAGGAGTGATATTTTTCCTAGTGCTTGTATCTGCTTGCCTCCGAATCCTATTAAAGGGGATTCGGAGGGCTGTAATTGATTTCTGCTGAGCTTCATTTAGTCGAAGGTATTTGCGAAGATGATATCTGCTGAACTGCTAGTGTCAATCAACACTGTGCTTATCTCTCATGCTGCTATGTTTGTTTTGATCACCATTGCGTCTGTGTGAGGGTAGCTTTCTAGCTGGAGATCTTCTTCTGTGAAGGTGATTGGGACTCTAGACCAATCTGTGTATTTTGCTGTGCCCTGGACTGCTACATTGTTTACCAGGCGGAGGTGATTCTTTTTCTGTTTTTTCGTTTGAAACTCCATTGATGATCCTCCGGCGATTGGCAATATCATGACTATTGTTGGCAGTGCTCCATGAGGGTTGACTTGGTTTTCTGGGTTTGGCTCGTTTTTTGGTGTTGGGGGTTGGTTGTGAGGTGGTGGCGGAGGTAGTTGTTGCATTTGCTGCTGTTGCGGCGGATACTCGAACCTGCTTTGGTTTTGTGGCGGTTGGTTTGTTTCGAGGTAGGTTATGTGGGGAGTTTTTGGGTTTATGTAGGCCAGGCTTGCCATCGACCTATAGTTGCCCGTCGGGGGCTGCTGCGAGGGCGCTGACCGCCATGCTGGTAGGAATTCTCGGTAATAGGTAGAGGCGAGTGTGGAGGGATGTATTTGGTTTGCGTTTAGCGCTGGGTACATCGGGCAGTACTGCTGGTGGCCAGTTGTATAGGTGGTGTTGACCTCTCTTGCGTTCTGCTGTGCTGGAGGTTGGGCGGTATGCTTGTTCTTCATTCTTTCCTGTGTCTCCTTTGTCTTCGGACAATCTTTGGTGTTGTGCCCTGCGCTTTCGCTGTGAAAAATGCAATATGGCCTGCGTTGTTTGTGATTGTGGTTTTTGTTCCAGTTTTTGCCCTGGTAGCCTTGCCTACCTTGGTTCCTGGTCTGGGTCTCCGGCCCTGCTGGCCCTGGCAGTTGCCCTTGTTCGGGGTGAGGTTGACCCTTGATGCTGAGCACCTGCCCCTGGCCTGGTTTCTGATTTGATGCGTTCTGGTTCGCATAACACTTCTGTGAGTTTTTGCTGTTGTTTTGCTGTCTGTTTTGACCTTGCTTCTCCAGCCTTTTCTGGAGGTCATTGTCTGATCTGCAGTACTTCTCGAACTCGTCGTACAACTGCTGTATGGAAGTTGGTTTTTTTCTTGCTAGGTGTGCTACGAACGGCCCAATTCGGAGCCCTTTGATCGCTGCTTCAATGGCGATCTCTTCTGGGACGTCTGGTGCCTTCGCCTTTAGTTGCACGAATTTCTGAAAGTAGTCGTGTAGTGTCTCTCCCTGCATTTGTCTGCATTGGAACAGATCTATGGATGTCAGCGACTGTGCTGCTAGCCCCTTGAAGTTTGCCAATATCTTGTCCCGGAGATTTTCCCAAGAATAGACTGTGTTGGGTTTGAGCATGGAATACCAAGCCAACGTGTCACCTTCGGCAGCAATAACAAATGACTTTGCCAGGACGGCGTCGTCTCCGCCGGCAGAGGCTACTGCTGCCTCGTAACTCATAATGAACTGATGGGGGTCTGTCTTTCCGTTGAACTTTGGTAGTGTGATTGGCTTGTACGCCGTTGGCCATGGCGATTGTTGTATGCCTTCAGAGAGTGGGGACTTAGGGTCGATAGGCCTCCGCATCGCCTGAGATGGCGTCATGGTTGGGCTGGTCACTGGCGGAGGCATGTTTGTGGTTGGTGTTGCTGCGGAGGCTGGGATCGCAGAGGTTGACGCTGGTACTGCATGCTACATACTTAGCATCTCAGCATGTAGGACTGCCAACTGCTGCCTTATTTCTGCTGCTTGTGCTGATGCTTGAGTGGCTTGCTGATTAGCTACGAATGCTGCTGCCATTCTGTCCCTCTCTTGTTGAGCTCTTTGCAACCGTGCTTACAACTGTTGCAGTTCTTGCTTGAGTGTTGTACCTGAGTTTGGTTGGGCCTCCGGATCTTGGATCTCTGGATGTTGGGGGTCCGGTTGTTGGCCCTGGGCATCTGCTTTGGTGCCATCCTCCGCTGGCGAGGTTGCGTAGGTGCTACGGGTGGTGCGCCTAGGCCTTCCTCTCTGACCCTTGGTCGTTGCTGCTCTGGTGGTGGTTTTTCTTTTCCCTGCCATCGTTGGTTTGTCTTGGCCAGACCACGGTGGACGCCAATGTTGGAACTAGAGGTTTCGGACAGAGTGAGGGAGACAGGGGGGCCTCCGCCCGCCAGGAGTCGCCCTCGGGCGGAGGCTCGGGAAAGGCACGATAGGTGAACTTGTGGGAAGCTGGCACGAGAAAGTAGGGTTTCATTCATTCATTCACCTCCCATCCGCACGGTTACAAGTGTTCCCTATTTATATGGCTCAACTACTTCCTGACGGAATTTATTACAATGCCCCTCAACTGCTACAGTACATTCCTAGAATATTCCGCCACTGGTCTCTCATTTGCGGGGCAATCCTGCCACACCGTCTCCAAGTAACGGGCCTCCATAAGCGGCCGGCCCACCGTGCCTCGATCTTCGTCCCAAAGGCCCGGGTTCCCGATGCTGGCCTCCGTCTTCGGCGGCGCGCCGCTGCCTTGGCGGGTCTCCGCCGGTCCGGTCGGAGACATCGTCCGTATGTCTCTGCCCGGCCACGTGGGGGTCGTGGTTCCCGACGCTGGCCTACATCATCGGGGGCGCACCGTCGCCTTGGCGGGTCTCCGCCGGTCCGATCGGAGACGTCAACCGTGGGTCTCCGCCCGGCCGCGCGGGGGCCTTGCTGGCGCACTCGCGCGGACCACGGGCGCCTGCGCTTGAGTACCTGCACACACTTAGGCAAGATTGTTTGTTTAATTAGTTCAGAGGTAAGGCGGCCTCCGCCCTCATCGTCGGAGGCGCCCGTGAGCCGAAGCGGGGCGGCATCCGCCTGAGCATAGGTCGGAGGTCTTAGCGACCGGCCTAGGCGGAATTCACGACAAGCCCTCCGAGCCTCGTGTAGTGTCCTACGAGCATAGCCAGGAAAGTTTCTTTAGTCAGCGCCAGGTCTCCGCCCCAAGACGGTCGAAGACGCCTTGGCGACACCATGCTATCGGAGGCCTTCGTCACCCGCCGAAGCCGTGTTACAACACTTTCTGCAAATGGGTTTTCAAGAGAGAGGATATTCATATTTAGGTTGTGTCTCTCAGGTAACTCAAAATGGATCTCCCATATAAATATTCTATTAGAGGCTAATTTTGCATCTCCTACTATCCATTTTAGGTTTGGGTTCTAGGCATTGACATGGGCCAAGCACTCCTTGCGCCACTCCATTTACATCCTCTTCCATGTCCACCGTATCCGGAGTTCATCTGCGTTTGAATGCGTCTTTTTCGTGACCCGAGGTAGAGTACTTCACGGAATGTGCGTCGTGCTGCCAAAGGCGGCTCGTTGAAGAAAGTACTCGGCTATGGAGGTGAGGCCCCAACCGAAGGCGACGACGACGATGATGAGGGCGAGGTAGTCCACCGCGTGGGCAATAACGCGCGGCCTCTTCAGCTCGAGGCAGTGGATGCACAAGTGAAGTGAGAGGCGCGGCGCCGCCACCGCGGCGGGTCGGCGGCGAAGAAGGAGACCTTGACGACGGGTCGCCCTGAACTAGGCCCAGATGGCGGTGTCAACCGGCTCGGAAGCCCTAACAGCCCACCACGCCCCAAACCGACACACACGGCCCGCACAGCTTTTGGGCTCGGGCCAGGAGGTGATCCGCGGCCGCCGCCGCTCCAATCACTCCCATGCCATGAGGAGCCGAGTGCCGAGTGGTGGAAGGGAGGAGGACGTGGCTGGCGGGCGCAGGGGATGCAGCGGAGCACGGGGCGAGGTGGCGAGCTGCATGTGCTCATGCACGCAGCACGCCCAGCCACGCACCAACGAATAGGCGCACGCGCACATCCCGATGGACCGCGCAGAAGGACGACGCATCCAGTGCACACCCCGCCCCAGCCATGGACATGGGTGTTGAGAGCCAGCGGGAGTTGACGGCCGCGCCGGCGGCGGGGACCGGCACGGAAAGCAGGCCCCCAGGCGGGAGCGGGCGGAAGCACCTCTCCTCCATCGCCAACCACGTGCTCCGGCAATGTTCATTGTGCGTGCGCTGTTCGTCTTCTCGATCTTTATTCGTTTGCTGTCATATCGGACCAACGTCAATCATAAGTACAGAACTTCTAATTTTTTCCAGTTGTGCTCAAATCTAGTTGTTGCAGGTTTAGTTTGGAATATGCTTAGACACTCGGTGATCTGAACTTCCATGCTTTATGAGGTGTACCCATACTTGTTTGTTGCAGGTTTAGTTCGGATGCAGTATTATTTGTGGAGACAGACATGAATGAATACAGGGACCCATGAATATACGCATCTTGTATTTGACAACTTAATAATGCTTAAGCCAAAAACTTGTAATCCAATTCTCATTTCCATCAGTTTAGAAGGGGTGGTATTATTTTGAAGCAAGCAAAATCTCTTCTCGTGTAGCATCCTGAACTGTATAATTTATTGACATGTTTTATCTGGGTTTGTCTCTCTAGAGAAATCCTTTTGGCTATATATTAGCATGGAGTAACAGACGTATTCTTTTCTTAAGGAAAGAAAACTTAAAATGCTCTTTAATTTACTTCGAAATTTGGCCAACTATTATGTCAATGCCACACAGGACATTGGACAGGAGTGTCAATGATTTGGTGGCAGACTGCGAGTTGGGCTTAAAGACTGCAGCAGTTGGCAACTATTCAAGAAAACTAGTTGAGTTTTGCAGTCTTCAGGCCCTGCAAATTATCGCATCACATGATATTGGGGAGAAGATAAGTGACGGTTCGCTAAGTCGGTTCACCTTCGATATGATGCTAGCTTGGGAAACCCCTACCCCATCGGATCAACAGGTCACCATGGTTGGTGATTAAGCATATGTATGTCACACATGAGAAATGCTCGAGTCCTGAACTGAATGACGTGCTAAATTTTACAGGAGAGCATAGCGAAAGAAAGGGAAGATAGGAAGGAGCCACTTGGAGAAAATGAAGCTGTGATGGGTGATGAGACGTCACTGTTCTATTCAGATATCATGCCTCTTCTTGTAAGCATGTCAAAGAAATTACTGATTACCAGTTTATTATGGTCAATTTGCTCTAAGTAGCCATCAATTGGTTACCCAGGTGAATGAAGAGCCAACTGTTGGGGAAGAAGCGTACGTGTGGTTTGGATCTGTATTCCCTTTGGCTTGTGACGTGGTTAATGCTCGATTCACATTTGAAGCTCTCACTGCTACCACAGCTAACAGGCTGCATTATCCTGCTTATGACAGATTCCTGAAAGAAATGGATAAGTATGCTGCCTGTTCCATGATTGGACCAAATATTCTTCATTTGTCAACATTATTGTCAAATGTATGAACCATTACAAACTCTAATGTTTTTTCAGGTCCTTCAAATTCTTTCAAGATTTGCCAGCTCCAACTGGAATTGAATTCGCTGAAGATGAATTCATTTTGCACATGGAGGGCACAGCAGGAACACAAAGGGTAGTGAGGCACATTGGAAGCACTAGTTGGCCAGGTAATCAATATGATCACTTTGTTTCTGGTTGCTTCCATTTCTCATATTCTACTAATCTGAATTACTAGTTTCCTTCATTAGTAAATAACATACTCCCTCCGTACTCGTAAAGAAAGTCGTTTTGAACAGCGACACGGTCTCCAAAACACAACTTTAACTTCTTGTTTCAATAAAATTATTTATCAAAAAGTGATATATGTATACTTTTATGAAAGTATTTTTCAAGACAAATCTATTCATATAATTTTCACATTTTCAAACTCAACAACTTGAGAGTTATTCATGATTTATATTCCCAAGGTTTGACTCAAACCTTGTCCTAAACGACTTCCTTTACGAGTACGGAAGGAGTATAACCTTAGTCAATGTTTTGGTGTTTTTGGTTTTCTAGGCCGAGTGACTCTGACGAACAAGGCACTATATTTTGAGGCTTCTGGAAAAAATTCATACGAAGCTGCCATCAAGGTTGATCTTTCAGACACTAGAATAGAACACCAAATTAGCACTGTTTCATCAGGCCCTTTTGGTGTGCCTTTGTTTGACAAAGCCATTGTGTTTGAGTCACTGTGAGTTCCATCTTAAATAGAACCTTTCGGTGTTCAGCTTAGGCTAAATGATCAATTAGATCAGAACCTCTGGTTTTGGAGTTCCCCGAGATGACTAGCTCAACAAGGCGCGATATGTGGCTTACTCTGATCAGAGAAGTACTCTTTATCCACCGTTTTATATCAATGTACAACATAGTATCCCCCATTCACAAATGGGAGGTACACTCTAGAATCATATTGGGAGTAATGAGGCTCCACGCCGCAAGAGAGATGCTACGGATGTCACCACCGCCCGCTTCTAGCTGTTTAGTGTTCTCACTGTATGATGACATGCCTAAAGGTGATTTTGTGCTTGAGCAACTAGCAAGCAATCTGAAGCAGACCTCTGTTAGAAACACAGTACCTCTAAAACATAGATGAGGGGATAAACATCTTATTTAGATGGAGAAACTGATTCATCTACTTTGTCCTGGCGCAGTTGCGCCGCAGCCACGTGGACGCCGGTGTCGTGGGAGCCCGGCGTGGTGGAGTCCAGCATAGTGGTGGCGATGCAGAGGCGACAGTGACGTGAGGTGCCGCGGTCCGGTGGTGACGGTGAAGTCAGTGGGTCTTCCCGTCGCTGGCAGCACTCTCTTTAGATCGGGTTAGGTTTTAGCTGTTGGTGGGTCACGGTGGCTCAGGTCAACCTCGGAGAAAGCTGCCTTGGAGCCCATCATGTGGTTGCTGGCACCAGAGTCCAGATACCACCGCTGCTCCTGATCGGCGCCCACACATCCGAGGTGAATTTGGACGCGTGGTTCGTTGAGATTGACAGCCTTCAGGTCCTTCCACCGTCGTCACCTCTTCCTTCTTCGCGGCCTCGGCATCGCATAGTGCATAGCACGTCGCCATCAGGATAGTGGTCTCATCATCATCATCAGCTTGCGCCAGATGAGCCTCAGCCTTCTTCTCCTGCTTGTGATTTGGGCACTCCCGTACCAAATGGCCCGTCTTCCCGCAGCGCCGACAGGCGTTGGGGTTGACCCGTTTCTTCTTCTCCGAAGAAGCCTTGCCGCGGCGCTTGCCATCGCCACCGCGGCTGGAGGAGGCTACACCAGAGTTCCTCCGAGCAGCCCACTCCTCCTCTGTCAGCAGCATCTTGCCGCTGTCCTTCGTTGCTGTCGCTTGCTCCAGGCGCTCATCCACCGCTCGCAGACGCCCTGTCCCATCCTTAATGGTGAGGGTGAACAAGTCCAGCATCGTCTCTAAATATATATAAACACAAGAAACAATTATAAGTGGCAAATCATCTCTTCATTTATTATTATAGATATACATGTAGTCTCTTTATAAAGATGTAGTTTTTAAGACGTATATGATAGCCTTCAAAACATACATAATACCATGAAGAATTCGTTTCCGGCCTGTTCATTTCCAGTCCGGAATGGACTGGACTGTTCTGGGCCTGGAACCATTCCATACTTTGTACTAGACTGAAAATGTTCCTGCCGTTCCAGGTCGAGAATGCCTACCCGAACGGGCCCTAAAACTGTCTCCAACGAGCCACGCATAGCGTTACCCAAACCCATTTTGGGTTCGGCACAGTGAAAAAACGCCCTCCAACAGAATAGACAAAGAAAGCACCTATTTTGTGTAGAAGGAGAGAGGGAACACAGATTTGCGTCCTCTTTCCGTCGTCTCTCTCCTCGACGGCGCCAGTGTGGTAGAACCACGACACGGCAGTCCATGGCCGCGGCCACAGGCGCGGGAGGACGGATGCGGCCATGGAGGCATTGGATCCGGCCATGGCGACCCCGGATCCGGTCGTGGAGGCCCCGGATCGACCCCATCAAGGCCGAGAAGCACAGATCGACGCTGGACCTGGGCACCGGCGAGGGAAAGAGAGGAGCAAGGGAGAGATGCCACCTTCACTGGTCGCTCATGGCCGAAGAACACTGTCTTGTTGGGTGGCGCCACAGAACCCACCAACCCACGCGCCGTGTCAGCGTCGAGAGGCGCTTTCGCCCACCATTGGCCGGATTAGGAGCCGCGCGCCAGCAGCGCTGGGCGTGCTAAATCCCAGCGCCGTCGGCCCGGGCTGGAGGGCGCTCGCGTCGCCGCGCCTGGGCACGAGATTGGGAGCGGCGCGGGCATGCGAGGAGCAGCAGATTTTTTTGGTTCGCTGTTGGAGATCGAAAATTTTGGGTCGGCGATACAGCTACTGTGTGTGACCAAACCTTATAATAGGTATCGTGTTTGGGTGTGGTCGGTTGGAGATACTCTAACGGAAGGAATTTTTAACAGAATCATACGATTATTGCACGTACAGATGGAGGAATCAACTCGACATCAGAGGATCAGTATATCTCCGATCAATAGATGAGGAGGAGAGGAGATATTTGTTTAGGGCCACGTTTAGTTCATCCAAATTCCAGAATTTGACACTATGCAAAAAGAAGATTCCCCGTCACATCAAATTTACGGTACATGTATGGAGTATTAAATGTTGACGAAATCAAAAACTAATTGCACAATTTAGTTGTACTTTGCGAGACGAACGTTTTGAGCCTAATTAGTCAACGATTAGACAATTATTACTAAATAAAAACAAAACGCTACAGTATGCAACAGTGCCGCAACAGTGCCGCGAATTTGGGCTGCGCCAAATCTGGGGCCGAACTAAACGCGGCCTTGGTTGACGCGCCACACCCCGGGCCCGATCCCGAGGCTTTGGTCCGCCGACGCACGAGCAGCCGATGAACACGGCCACTCAACTCATCACGAGTACCGCCTGAGCAGCGGAGCCGCGGACACCATCACATCACACCTCCACCTCCACCGCCTCCGCCGCCGCCGCCAATATAAGCGGCAGCTGCAGGGGGGCCCGGGCCGGGCCCCGCAGTTGAAACCGCCAGCCGTTCCTTCCCACTCTCCTCCCCCTCCCCGGTCCGCCCCTCGCCGCGGGGCGCCCGCGCCCAAAGGCCAAAACCCTAACTCTCCCCCACGAAGCACCGCGCCGCGCGCTCGCCAACGGTCCCCGCGGATGCGCGCGGCCCGCTCGCGGTCCTTGACGACGCCCTGCTCGCGCGCCGCGGCTGTTCCGCCATGGACGAGCCCGAGGGCGTGAGGGGGAGAGAGGACGCGGCGCCGGGCCGCGAGGCCGGCGACGCCGAGGAGGCCGGGGACGGGTTCCAGCTCGTGACGCATGGCAAGAAGAAGAAGAGGGCGGCCAGCGGCCAGGACGGCGGGAGTGATGGCTATGAACTCCTTGATCGATGTGTGAGACATGGCTTAGGTAAAATAGTATGCATTGCTTTGTTTAGTCGAGTCTTCTCTTGATTCTTGAGCAACACTTGTTGAATCAAATACTACTTTTCCCGTCCCCCATCGCTTGGTGTGTTTAGACTGGATATGTTGGGCGGACGTTGCCCAAAGTTCATCAGACACAGAATGAGTACAAATAATCTGATTGCTGCTGTTTTTAGGTTAAATTTTCAACCGAACATTGGAAGATGGCTTTATGGTAGTGTGTGACTGTGTATAAATGGAAGAGGAAATGTTCAATATTAGTTGAGATAATACTTTTTTGTGGTGTGAAAAACAACCAACAAGGATATTACTTGCTTTTGACAAACAATAGTGAATCATAGGCATGTTGATATAAAAGAATCAGTATGCATGTTGATATTTTGAAAGCTAAAGGATAGTATCGGCGCCGTTCTCGGCGCCGGGTCGGTGCGGGCGTTGACCAAGGACAAGGGAGCCGCGCCGGCGCCGGGGGCCAAGGCCAAGGTGCCCTTCCACGATCCGAGCATTCCCCGGCCGCAGGACGTGTACAAAATCATAGTGGATAACTACAACCCGTTCGAGCATGTCTGGCTAGAGCGCAGCCAAGACGGCACCCGACGTGTTCACCCGCTGGTCCGTGATAGACTATCCTGTTGCCACTTCTCTATGTTTTGGCGTGTTTGAACAGAATGGAGGAGCTATGAACTCCTCGATCGATGTGTGAGACATGGCTTAGGTAAAATAGTATGCATTGCTTTGTTTAGTCGAGTCTTCTCTTGATTCTTGAGCAACACTTGTTGAATCAAATACTACTGTTCCCGTCCCCCATCGCTTGGTGTGTTTAGACTGGATATGTTGGGCGGACGTTGCCCAAAGTTCATCAGACACAGAATGAGTACAAATAATCTGATTGCTGCTTTTTTTAGGTTAAATTTTCAACCGAACATTGGAAGATGGCTTTATGGTAGTGTGTGACTGTGTATAAATGGAAGAGGAAATGTTCAATATTAGTTGAGATAATACTTTTTTGTGGTGTGAAAAACAACCAACAAGGATATTACTTGCTTTTGACAAACAATAGTGAATCATAGGCATGTTGATATAAAAGAATCAGTATGCATGTTGATATTTTGAAAGCTAAAGGATAGTATCCTCATGCACAACGATATGTACCATACAACCAGGTGAAAATAAAATCAGTTTGGTGTTTTTCTTTAAAAAACATAGGACTGCTCTAAGTCTAGCATTTATCTTCTGTAATTTTTTTTGCCAGTGCCATGATTTGCTTGCATCCATATCCATTTATGGGATTTAACTTATTTTTTGTTGCAGGAAAAACTGCCTGTTGAACAGTTCGTTGACAGAAATGTTCCTGAGAGAGAACCAGTGAAGCCAGCTGATTTAGAGGATACACAATTTACACTGGTTGAAGATCACAAAGGCTTAGTGGAATTAGCGAAAAAGTTGAAGGGTGTCACTGAATTTGCTGTAAGAATTTGTAACTAATATTTTCATTTAAAAATTTCAAATGAATCTATGCCATACTTATATGCCTCTTATGTTGGTACTGAATACTGAAGTGCACTCTCAAGTATTTTGTTTTGTGTTGCATACATTTTTTATCGGAAACAACTGTCAAGCATGCCTTCCCTGGAATTTTTTGCCCCTGCAAAGCATATATCATGCACACGGTATCACAACAGTTCTCAGTGAAATGTTTTAGTTACATGTGTCTGTAGTTACTGCTATATGTTAGTTGTTGTGGAATGTGCATTGAACTTGACAGTCTTTATACTAGCACTATTGAAAATTCTTAAGCTAGATTACCTTTCTAACTGTTTGACATGAACAACACTGCACAACTTTGGTGGGTATGTAAACAAGATATCTCCCATGTTTTGTTTCTTCATCTTATAGAAGAATTCTTTTACGCCCTTTTATGTTCTAGGCTATCTGACATGCAATAGAATAACTTCCATGGATTTTATTATATTAGCAATTTAATAATTGCCTATATATTTTTTGTTCCATTTTCAGGTAGATTTGGAGCATAATCAATATAGGTCATTTCAGGGCTTGACCTGCTTGATGCAGATTTCAACAAGAACAGAAGACTTTATTGTGGACACTCTTAAGCTACGCATATACATTGGTCTCTATTTGCAAGAACCTTTCAAAGATCCAACAAAGAGAAAGGTTTTGAAGAACTCCAAAATAATGTCTGTCTATATGTACTCAATTTCTGGTTTTCATTCGTTCTTGGTCAAATAGGTAATGCATGGTGCGGATCGTGATATAATGTGGCTCCAGCGGGATTTCCACATCTACGTGTGCAATCTTTTTGACACAGGACAGGTATTTGTAAATTAGGGCCAATAATACCGTGATTCTGATTCTGCCGCCCAATTTGCTTCTTTCTTTATTCTCCTGGAAACCCTCCTTTTTAATGTTTAATAGACTGAAGATTGATTTTCTTTCTAACCATAATCAGGCTTCAAGGGTCTTACAGATGGAGAGAAACAGCCTTGAGCACCTATTGCTTCACTTTTGTGGAGTGACAGCAAAGAAGGAGTATGGCTCTATATACTCTGACCTCCCTTGCATCTACAATGGGATTTTCTTTTCTCTGATTAAATCATGCCTTTTCTTGTAGATATCAAAATGCCGACTGGAGGTCGAGGCCACTTCCTGATGAAATGATCAAGTATTGTGCATATAGACCCTATTCTGAATTTCTTTTCTGTTGTGTTTGGTGTTGGATTTTTTTTTTCGTTTGCTCCTTTTCTTTATTGCTGACTTGCCATCAGTTATATATAAGTGACTTTACTTCTGGCCAGGTATGATAGAGAAGATACACACGATCTGCTGTACATATATGACTTAATGAGACAGAGACTACAGAGGGAGTCAACATTTGAAAATGATCTTCTTCTAGAGGTACAGTACAAAAAGTATTGTTTTTGTTCTGTTTCCCATCTTATGTTTTGAGGTCATAAGAGAATATACAGTTTTATATTGTCACCTCTTTGAATGAAGTTAAATCTAGCACTGATCTCTTTGTTGCTTGTAGTTCCTGAATTGAATCGATTGTTATTTGGATTGTCATATGTATCAAATTGCATGTCCTGATGTTTGTTTTAATGGAGTTTGGGTTACTGCAGGTCCATAAGCGCAGTAATGAAATTTGCTTACAGTTCTATGAGAAGGAGCTTCTGACAGATACATCCTATCTCCACATATACGGGTTCGTATGCTGCTGCCTCAGTTCCTTAACTGGCTTCTATAGTAAACAATTAGTCTTTTGTATCTTTAAAATATGTACTTTATAATTTTAGTTTTATGTGCATATCAAGTTACTGAACTATATTATTACAGGTTGCAGGAACATGAACTGGATGCAAAACAGCTGGCTGTTGCTTCTGTAAGAACATACTTTATGTACTCTCATGATCATTCTGCATTCAATATTTTGACCTTTGTAAAGTCATATTGGACATCTTATTGTATTCAGTTTCTTATATTGAAATGTTGCATATATAATGAGCATCTCATATATCATCTTCTCCCCACAATTTAGGCTCTACATGAGTGGAGAGATCGTATAGCTCGTCAGGAAGATGAAAGTACTGGTTATATACTGCCAAATAAGGCTTTAATTGAGATAGGTATTGCTGTTTTCTTTATATTCTGTTATTATGGTGCAAAATTGGATATGCGACTTCGCTGACTCCCCCACCCCCTTTTTTTTAATTCAAAAGCAAAGCAGATGCCTACAGATGTTGGACATTTGAAAAGAATTGTGAAATCAAAATATCCATATGTTGAGAGCAATCTTGAGCTAATTGCTTACACTGTCTGGAATGCACTTAAGTATTCTTATGCGTTTGAAGGAATAGCTGAGCAACTAAAAAAGGAACGGCTGGAACAGGTTTGTTAGGTTGAAGCTTATGTTGATTTCACTCTTTGAATAATTTAGGAATGTGCTGAGTCTAGCACTGGACCTTAACCTTTCTTTTGAAGCTAGTATCTTATCTTTTGCAGTTGGCTTTGAAAAGTGGTCAGGCCAGTGATGAAGTGACTCCTTTGGATGCTGACATTGATAGGAGTAATTTTGATTCATCTGATCAGTCTGCAAATGTCAGTGTTGCTTCTGGCAGTGGGGCTGGTTTTATGAGTGAAACAGCTTTGATCAGCAGCATCCACCTAGAGGATAAAACTCAAACCATATCCTCAGTTAAGACCTCTGGGACCTTGTCAGGCCTGATCAGACCAGTGAATAAGGATGTCCTGAGCAATAATATACATCAGCAGGTAAAAAAAAGTATGCAACATCTGAATCTTTTTTATTTATTCTGTATTTATATCGCTGCATTTTGTATGAGGATCAGGCTAGTCAGGACCTGAGACACACTTTAGGAGCTCTAAAAGGAAACTTGGCATCTGGAGGACAGTCAAATGAGCAGGTACAGGCAAACTATTCCTGAATAATGAAAACATCAAAGCAGTCATTCTGAATACATGTGATTTTCTATGTATCAATCTGCCTTCTTCCTGTTGAAATGTTATTGAAGAGTTGTTGATAGTACACATTGGGTCACATTGGTCTTTTGGTTTGTCTACAGTTAATCTTATGCAACTTGGTAGAATGCCTGTCTTTACTACATGTTTTGAGATGAAGTATTTACTATAGGTTAGCTTGGATATTCATTCAACATGTGTTTACTAGAGGGTTTTCAATTTTGTTTATACCCTTCTAATTCTTGATATGTTTTGCTTCATCTCCATTTATTTATTTTCATGATGAAGTTTTGCATTTATGCAGAGACTTTTATCTACTGCTGTTCAATTCCAGGCTGGGAGCAATGTGGAGAATTTTAGATCTTCTGTATTTCCTTCCCAGCAGTTGTCTGGTGGAGTAAAACCATTTTATCCAAATGCTGGAATGCACATTGACAATGTTTGGATTCAAACAACTCAGATGAATGAGACAATGCAGCTGGGCAACACACCTTACTACACACAGCTTCCAGGATATAGCACTGAAGTTGTAGGGAGCCGTTATGAACCTGAAGGCTTGCAGATGTCCGGGTACCTGTCTGGTTTTGAGCCTGGCATTGAGTCAATAAACCAAAGAAGTACAGTAACAGTAACAGGACAGCCTCCTGGTAGACACAAGGAAGGAAATTTCCAGAGTTCGGTGAGACGACAATCTTTCCCACCTTCAAGTTACAAGAAATGAGAGTACATACCAGTAGCAGTAGCTGCCCTGATGTACAGCAGAAGCCAGAAGGGATGGAAAAGATGAGCCCCTGGCACTGATGTTTTTTTGTGCAGACATTGACTGTGTAGAGAACAAAGACTTGGGGGTGTTTTACTTGCCCTCTGAATGCCCTTTGGATTTTTGGCATTCGGTTAACTGAAAGGTGAGAAACCCATTATTGACTGTAGATGCAGGGTATCTGAAGTGCCATCTCACTGCCCATTGGCTCATGTAATGGAAGGACGGGACTAACAAACAAGTTCTGGTTCAATGGTGAATACTGGAATCGCACAAAAAAAATACTGTGATACTGATATTGGTACAGTGTAACACCATCAATTCAAAGACTAAGAAACAAACAGCTAGCTTTGTTCTGTCCTTTCTCCCTTATTATGCTATGTCTTTTTTTTCTGTATATTTCTTTACGTGCGCTTCGTTATGGAACTTTTGATTTCTATCAACGTGTAATCGTATAGCTGCCCAGGGCGTGTGGATATATTGGTTAGGAAAGTACTCATTCCCTCAGTTCCAAATTAGTAGGCATATACTAGTTCTTAAAATCCTGTTTGAGATTAGAGGAGGCACAACTAATCTCAGTTTTTTTTTCTTCATTTTGGTCAAAAGTAGCCCTACAACTTAGTAATAGGGTCTGATTGGTTGGTTACACAAACTTAGTAATGCATTAAGGGTCTGATTGGTTGTTTGCACTCATGCAAGCCTATATTAGGTTTTATATATGAAGCGTAGCCTAAGCTTTCAAAAATTGACCGGCTTTGGTTTGCTTGTATTACACATTTGCACTTGAAAGATTGTATTTGTTTAGTTACTGCATTATTTAGGGGTTTAGTTGTTAGAGTAATGGTTTTTCTATCGTAATACAAAAAACAAGATTTTAAGTCGGTTTACCAAACTATTAGAGGTGCTATAGCAAAAGCCCCAATAGTAGACCTCTCATTTCTCGTTCACATTAGCGGCTTCTTATTTGGTTTACTTTTTTATTTTGTTTCTCTTGCCGCCTCCCGGCAGGCCTGAATAAGCAAAATAGTTTTCTTCTGTCTTCATTTTTTTTTCCTTGTGCGATGTCTTGCATCCTGAATCAGTAGCAAATGCACTTGTATTGGGCTGGTAGCACCTGAGCACAAGTCTGCTTACTCCTAGATTTTTTTTAACACTAAAATAACTAATTTTAAATTTAATACTGTTTAATTTTTTCTTCATTTTTTGTCGCACCTATTGCGATGTCCCCATGCATGGTGGCGCGGCGAGATTTCGTTGTCAGTACTTTCCTATTGATTTCTTTATGCACAAAGGAGGGATGATTTTGTATATGGGCCATCTGTGGTTATATTGCCCAGTGAGGCAAGCGTCGGGGTTACCACTAACTCTAGCGAGGTTCATTTGTCCGAAGCACTCAGTCTGAGAGTGCTTGAAGTGCGTACTCCTACATGTCATCTGAATAAGCAGGTGAGATGCTATTTGCTTTATTAGTCTATGATGAGTGAAGCTTCGATCAAGGTGGGGAGCTCAGCCGGTTGGGGCTGAGAAAATCCAGATACGGGTCAAATGAAACCAGTGTCCGATTGGCCATTGACTGAACTCTCTCAAAACCGTATTTTTAGCGCATCACTCTCGCCATGCTGCTTGCTATAGTATAGTTTTTGGTAACCCTAACCAACTTTACTCAGAGGATGGTCGTGGACGAGCGGTAGGCAAAAAACAACTCCCCTTTTTTTCGGCTCAGCCGCGGCGGATCCAAAGATCGACTTCCGGTAATGGAGAGCCCTCAGTCTCTTATTTACTAGTACGATCCGTTGATCCATTGTACTAGCGCAATGAGTCTTTCAGATTTGCCTCACATAAAAGTTATTATCCGGACATGGCAACGCCTGTTCCAACAAAGTTTAAGTATGCGCTTTTTCAAGATTTTTTCTCGCACGAGGACAGAAGCCCCAGAAAAGAAATTTAGAAGAAGTTAGTTTCATTTTTCCGATTTTATCAAATGATGTAACTTTGTTATCAGATGAATGAAAGCTTGCCTGAAGGCATTTAAAAAAACAACAACAAGAAGAAGTCCACGCTGCAGAACAAGATCACACCTCTGTGCAAACAACCCTCTGAATCTCTGATGAAGTTTGAACCATATATGAAAATGAAATGGAATGGAATAGAGCTATAACCAGATCCTACCCAAACCAAGTTACTTGGCTGAAATATAACCTTTCAAAATAAAAAATGAAAAAAAGACTTGGCCGAAATGTAAAAAAAATCTACTCCAGATTTGCAAACTGAATTCGAGAAAATGAAATCAAATGAATTCAATCCACGGCACTCAAGTTGTTTGCAACTTGCCATGCTGCAGAACCCGTAGCGGAGACTTCCGGAACAGCGAGCAGGTCCACGCCCACCGCAGAGTTCCAACAGGCGTTTCAAGATCAATTCCGCACGAGGACAGAAGCAAGAAACAAGAAGAAGTTAGTTTAGTTCCGATTTTATCAAAAGATGTTTTGTTTTGATGAATACTTGCCTGAAGGCATTTAAAAAACAACAACAAGAAGAAGAACACGCTGCAGAACAAGATCACACCTCTGTGCAAACAACCCTCTGAATCTCTGATGAAGTTTGAACCATATATGAAAATGAAATGGAATGGAATAGAGCTATAACCAGATCCTACCCAAACCAAGTTACTTGGCTGAAATATAACCTTTTAAAAAGAAAAGACTTGGCCGAAATCTACTCCAGATTTGCAACCTGAATTCTGAAATCTGAATTCAATCACGGCACTCAAGTTGGTTGCAACTTGCAGGCAGAGGCAGCCGGAACCGCGGTCGGTCCACGCCCACCGCAGAGACATTTCCAGCAGAGCATTTCATTTCACTGCCGAGCGGGCCCACCAACCAACCCATCATCAGTAGGCAGCACCAACCCCGCAAGTGACACCTCCCCTTCCCAATCAACTTTTTTTTTTGAGCTTCCCAACCAACTCCTATATAGATCTCGTCCCGTTCCCTTTCCCATTTCCGCACCACCCAGCCGGCCCAAGCCCAAAACCCTTTCCTCTCCTCCCCTCCCCACGATGGCCGCCGCCGCCGCAACCACGCCGCACTCCCTCCTCCTCCAGCCGCGCGGCGAGCCCGGCCGCGCCGTCGAGGGCGGCCGCCACTTCCTCCTCACTCCGCCTCTTGGCCCGTGCCGCCAGGATCTCGTGCGCGGCGGTGGCGGCGCCGTCCCCGGCCGCCGCGGCGGCGGCGGACGAGGCGGAGCGCGGCGTCTACAACTTCGCGGCGGGGCCCGCGACGCTGCCGCTCTCCGTCCTCAAGCGGGCGCAGGCGGAGCTGGTGGACTACCACGGCTCCGGGATGAGCATCATGGAGATGAGCCACCGCGGGAAGGAGTTCGACGCCGCCATCAAGAAGGCCGAGGCCGACCTGCGCGCGCTCCTCGCGGTGCCCGACACCCACGCCGTGCTCTTCCTCCAGGGCGGCGCCACCACGCAGTTCGCCGCCGTGCCGCTCAACCTCTGCGCGGGGCCCTCCGACCCCGCCGACTTCGTCGTGTCCGGCTCCTGGAGCGATAAGGCCTTCAAGGAGGCCAAGAAGTTCTCCGCCGCCTCCGTCGCCTGGTCGGGCAAGGACGGCAAGTACACCGCGCTCCCGCCCTTCGACGCCATCAAGCAGAACCCCGAGGCCAGGTTCCTCCACATCTGCTCCAACGAGACCATCCACGGCGTCGAGTTCAAGGACTACCCGGAGCCCCGCAACAAGTCGGGCATCCTCGTCGCCGACATGTCCTCCAACTTCTGCTCCAAGCCCGTCGACGTCTCCCGCTTCGGCGTCATCTACGCCGGCGCGCAGAAGAACGTCGGGCCCTCGGGCGTCACCGTAGCCATCGTGCGCAAGGACCTCATCGGCGCCGCGCAGCCCATCACGCCCGTCATGCTCGACTTCAAGACGCACGCCGACAACGCCTCCCTCTACAACACCCCGCCCTGCTTCGCCATCTACATCTGCGGCCTCGTCTTCGAGGACCTGCTCGCGCAGGGCGGCCTCGCCGAGGTCGAGAAGAAGAACGCGCACAAGGCCGGCATCCTCTACGACACCATCGATGCCAGCGGCGGGTACTACGTCTGCCCCGTCGACAAGTCCGTGCGGTCGCACATGAACGTGCCCTTCACCCTGGCGAAGGGGCCGGACTTCGAGAAGCAGTTCATCGCCGAGGCAGCCAAGGAGGGCATGGTGCAGCTCAAGGGGCACAGGTCGGTCGGTGGCGTCCGCGCCTCCATCTACAATGCCATGCCGCTCGCAGGGGTGGAGAAGCTTGTCGCCTTCATGAAGGATTTCCAAGCTAGGAACCCTTGATTGGCTTGTGCTTATGATCATTTGGTATTGCTGCTCTTTAGCAGTATGTTTCGTTCTTTCTTCATAGCATAAGTTAGCTCTGTGCAAGAGCTGCTTTGCTTTACGCATCTTGGATGTATCTGTAGTATTAGTACCATAACAGCTACCCAGCTGCTGTATTTTGCAATGTTCTTTTTCACTTTTATTAAGTGTCCATGGAATTTCTTTTCTATGGCGCACCATTGTAGTTGGAATGTGTTTTGCTGAGAATAAGGTAGGTGGTCAATTGCCTCACTTCGATCGACAGCAGGTGACGCTGCTATATCATTCACACTTGTCAGTGCTTATAAAACACTAATTTGAAGGTTGTTTGGTTTTTGCCTCCAAACAAAGCAAATTTTGTTGGTTTCTTCTTTTCTTATCATTCAGAGACAGAATTCTGCTGAAATTTGATGTCATACTTCAGCATCCGGTGTATGTATCCATTGTTGTTTTCAGATAGGTTGGTCCATGTTGGTGACTAAGCACAGACCCTTGCATGTATTTTTGCTGGTTCTTGTGTCGTTTTCTTGACTAATGATCCATTTAAGCTGATACCAAAAACAGATGTGCGGTGTGACATTGTATCAAATTGCACGTTGGGTAAACATTGTGTGCCATAGCACAAGCTTAAGGTCAACTGTTGGTATTTCCAAAAGACAAGATAATCAACCCGTTCGCTGGTTGGTTTCTACGCTGATAAGCCTGGCTGGTGTTGGTTTGTTGTGAGAGAAAAATACGGTACTATGGCTGATAAGCCCTGGCTGAAACCAACAAACGAACATGCTAAATGGTTTGACTCGAATCAGTCTAAATTCGAAAAGCAGCATGCGTTCTTTTCCCCAAGATTGCAAAATCAGTTTCGGTACTAATTCTCCGATTGATGATTTTTTCTTTTCTAATTCAAGTTACTACAATCAAGTTGAGCGGCTAGTTACGCCATATTATTCTCTTTTAGGGCTTGTTTGGAATGGAGGATTTCCAAAGGAATGAATTCCATAGGAATGTTTCCTCAACTTGCTGTTTGGAACAAAAAAAAACCTGCATTCCTTTCCAAAGGAAAGATTAACTGTGCTTCACAAAACGTAGGAAAAAAGCATCCAAAGAAACCTAAAGGAAAAATTCCTACAATGTTTTGTCAAGTTCTCAAGCATGGAACCTGCTTCTTGGGCACATGTGGCATTTTTGTTTTCCTATGATCCAAACACCCCAAAAGTTTTTATTCCTGTGTTTTCAAATCCCATAGTTTTCTACTTTTTGCTCTATTCTATTCTTGTGGTTTTTCTCATTCCTTTGTTTTGTATTTCTGTGTTCCAAACAGACACTTAACTAACCATCAGGATATTTATAAAGAGACGTGCAGAATCTGAAGGCCAGCCATAGTAGAGTGTTTATTTTTCTGATCCTATGGGTGGACCATCAGTAAACCTGTGGACACAGCCACTTGGAAGTCGTCTGCCATCCATGATTCATGTCATTGGAGTCTTCGTTTGGAATTGCTAATCTATTCAGCCGAGTGGGCGACAGCTCTCTGATCTTCTGATGCTAAAAGTGTGTTTGCACTTTGCACCTGCAATTCCGATGGAAGTGAATGGAAATTTTGTATGGAAGGGATGAACGGGTACCACTGCAAATTGCTGAAACTGCCGGTATTATCCTTGGCATTATAATGCATTCTGCCTCTGCAGTTCAACTTTCATGTTTGTAGCATTTTGGATTCCAGGTTAAAAAAAGAGGAAACCCACACTTCCCTGTATCTGATGCTATTATACTACTCCCTCCGTTCCAAATTATAAGTCGCTTTTGATTTTTTTTGTACATCTATTTTGCTATGTATCTACATATAACATATGTCTAGATACATAGCAAAATCGATGTATCAAAAAAGTCAAAACAACTTATAATTTGGAACAGAGAAAGTAATATTTATTTGTCAAAGATTCATTTAGGGTTTGGACCGATTCAGGCCAGTTTGGAACGGAGGCTTTTCCTTTTCATAGGAATTTTGGAGGAATCAAGTTCCTCCATTTTGCTGACGTCATTGTGTGTTCGGAATGGAGGATTACATCTTTCCTTTCCTGTGGAAAGGTTTGCCTTCTTTCACAAAACACAGGAAAAGAAACATCCGGTTTGAGCTCAATTTTTCAATAAAACCCGAGGTGAGTGATTGTGTAGGGGAGAGAGAAATAACAGGACTACAGGAGCTTATATACCAAAAACATATGTGCAGTGTGATCCAGTTTCAGATTGCACGTTTGATAATCCAAATAATAGGATTATGTCTTGACTTAATAATCAGTATAAATCAGGATAGTAGCATGTTCTTGTTTTTTCTTTTATTTTCTTTTTTTCCCCCTAAAACACTGCAAAATCTGCTGTAGTGCTACACTGCTACTGTTCTTTTTTAAAAGCAATGCTTATACTCCTCCGGCCCGGACCACGTCACCGGCCAATTAACTCCCTTCCCCTTCCGAGGCCCAGCCCACACTCCACCCTCAAACGGCAGCCGCCAAAGTGGGCGTGGCCCAACGAGAACGCGAGTTAACCGCTGCCCGCTGCGTAAATCGCAAGCAGAGCACACACGGAGGCAGTCCGCTTGAAAGTCAAGCCAAACTGCTCTCGCACGCGCAGTATTAAACCCTTGCCAAATCAACAGGAGAAAGGAGGAAAAACGCGAACCGACTAGCCGCTCTGTTTCTCCTCCTCCCCTGATTGCTCTCGATCTGCCAGCGCGCGGCGCGATGGCCGACAAGGCGGCGTCCCCGGAGAAGAAGTCGTGGGCCGACGTCGAGGAAGAGGAGGAGGCCAAGGCCAAGGCGGCCGCGGAAGCGGAAGCGGCGGCGGCGGCGTCCTCTTCCTCCACCACTGAGCCGACGGTGGAGGAGCAGGCCAAGCAGATCGAGGCGCTCTCTCTCGCCCCGGCGGTGGAGGACGCCGCAGGCGAAGAGGGTCCGCCCCTCCTCGATGACTCCGATGACTCGCAAATCCAAGCCGTACGCTCCCGTTCCCCTCCCCACTTCCGCCAGCGCCGACGCTAGCCCTAACCAGTCTCGCTTGCCTCGGGCTGCTGATTGATTGATGTGATTTCGATTTGGCTTCGCTCCAGGTGACTTCGGGTGGCACGGTGTACGAGTCGGCCACCATGTTCGAGGATCTGAAGCTGTCTCCCGAGCTGCTCAAGGGGCTGCACGACGAGATGGGGTTCAGCCGCCCAAGCAAGATCCAGGCGATCACCCTGCCCATGATCCTCACGCCGCCCTACAAGGACCTCGTCGCGCAGGCGCACAACGGCTCTGGAAAGACCACCTGTTTCGTCCTCGGTATGCTCAGCCGCGTCGACCAGCAACGCAAGATACCCCAGGCTATCTGCATTTGCCCCACTAGGGAGCTCGCGCAGCAGGTCATAACTTAAGACTCACCGTTCTTGTACTATGCTATCGTATCATATGGGTGGAGATGGCATTATCCCTGATTATTATTGGATGAAGCTCTGTTGTTAATGGTGCTGAGTTTGCTTCATTCAACTGTGCAGAATAAGGCAGTTCTCATGAGGATGGGCAAGTTTACTGGCATTACATGTGCCTGTGCAATCCCGCCAGCTCAAAAAGACTATATGCCGATCTCTAAAATGGCTCCGATTACTGACCAGATTGTTATTGGCACATCTGGTACGCTCATCAAATGGATTACCCATAAGAAGCTGGCCACAAGGGATATCAAGATACTTGTGTTTGATGAGGCGGATCATATGCTTGCTGAGGTTTGTTTGATTTCAATTCTTGTCTTGTTATCATAACAATGCCTAGGGTTGTCAGTATTTGGAAGGGCACCTTACTGTTAGTCTCTTTTGGCATGGTATTTGAGTTACTATATGCTGTAAGGAGCAATGCGTCAAGAAACTTGTTAAGCTTCTCTGACTACCCTTGGCAGTCACATTACAACCAACTGATTAAGTGATTATTAACCAGAGTAGACAAAAGCAATGCACTTGTATACAATGAATCACAACCGACTGATTAAGTGGTTATTAACCAGAGTAGAGGAACGCTATGCATTTTATATACTTTCCGCGATGTTATGCCTTTCCCAAACATCAAACAGATATTGTTGATGCACGCTCACAGTAGGGACGGGTTATTTTCATCATGTCTAGATGCAAACCATTAGTTTAATGTTAGTTAGCAACGCAGAGTAACGATTTGTTTTTTAAACCTTTACAACTCCAAGTAATGCATAGCATATACTACATTGCTACCAAACAACTTTTGGTCTAGTAACATGCAGTACATTCTAGTTCCAAGTACACTGAGAAGGAGAAAAAGGGTTTCTATTTCCTTATTGGTAGAATGCCCGCAGGTCGAGTTTTTTCATTGCTAGAATGATTTTAGCCTTTCCAGCTTTTATATGTTCTCTAAATCGCAAACTAATGTCTATGTCTTCTACTTTATTTCTGGCATGATAATTCTTTTTATAACTGGAGTTCACAAATTGGTTCGTTGCTCATGACATCTTGCCCTTGATTTTTTTTTGTCCATGGCCATGCAGCTTATTTTATCATTGAAGCTAGTCTTTGTAAATCCATGAGTTGTTTTCTTACAGTGGTGAATTCCTTGCAGGATGGCTTTAGGAGTGATTCTGAAAGGATGATGAGGGATATACAAAGAAGCGCTGGTGGTTGTCAGGTAATTTTCCTTTGCCTCTTTAACTTTTTTCTTATCACATGAAAAAGCTTGCTAAGAGGATATCCGGGAGATGTTGTGAGAAACAATCTTGATCTAGGGAACAACCTTTTTCCTAATGATGGAAACAAGGCTTATTATTTGAAAAATCTCATCCCTGAATTCAGTCCATTCACTGTAGGTGTGGAATCAATCAATGATGACATTAATTTCTTTTAAAAAACTGTGCATGCATTCGTCATTTGTTATGTTACTACTTACTGGATGTATCTTTGTTAGATACTTGGGTCTTATGTAATGTCTTATTGGCGGATTCCTGTTGCTAAATTATGCATTCACTTCAGTTTTGAACTAAACCTATATTGGATGAAAATCGGAGCTTCTCATAACTATTCGTATATCCTGCCTGGCCATACAGCGACAATGTCTTGTTGCGACAATGTCTTGTTGACCTGATGTGTTTGTCGAACTATTTTTCATATTTTAATTCTATTTTTGCCAGGTGCTTCTCTTTTCTGCGACCTTCAATGAGAGGGTGAAGGATTTTGTTACAAAGGTCATTAGGGATGGAAATCAGATATTCGTGAAGAAGGAAGAGCTTACTTTGGAAAAAGTAAAGCAATACAAAGTTCAAGTCCCTGATGAATCAGCAAAAATAGAGGTTATAAGGGACAAGATATTTGAATTTGGACAGAAAGTTGGCCAGGTTATCATATTTGTTAGAACAAAGCAAAGTACTAAGAATGTTCACAATGCTTTGACGAGGGAGGACTATGTTTGCTCCTCAATTCAAGGATCCCTTGACCAATCAGAGAGGGAAAAGATAATACAGGAATTCAAAGATGGCTACACCAAGGTTCTTATATCAACTGATGTTCTTGCTCGAGGTTTTGACCAAGCACAGGTACTATTTGTGTGGCATTTTGCTTTACACTTCATGAAGTACAAGTTTTTCACCTTCTAATTTTGTTGTTTTCGAGAATTTGCTTTACACTTTATGAAGTACAAATTTTTCACCTTCTAATTTTGTTGTTTTTGAAAGGTTAACCTGGTTATCAACTACGACATGCCAATCAAATATGGTACAAGAGATGAACCTGATTATGAGGTGTACTTGCACAGAATTGGCAGAGCTGGGCGCTTTGGCCGGAAAGGTGAAATTTGGATCTATGGTTCCTTCTAGAATTGTATTACATGTTTAGTAGCACCGGTTTTGCATTAAATGAATAAGTCAGTGTCACAGGAAGCAACTAGGTATTGTGATCCACATTGTGGCAAATAATAGTGGTGGTATTATTAGGAATGAAATGAATTGGGGATCATGCTGTCGGAATATTGGATTGAACCTGTGCCCCCCATATTAGGTGACCATGCTGCTTTTATCAAGCATAGTGTCTGTTTGTAGCCTTGAGCTTGAATTTTCACCCGGATGCAAATCCCTTTGAATTCTTTTTTATAAAGTTTAATCAAGAAATTTAGATGTTTTTTATGATAAGATGGAAAAGGCCCTTTAATCTGTTTAATAAGAAAACAAATAACAAGACTTTTCTACTTGACTAGGTTTACTATTTTGTATAGTATATTAATGTTGCTAACTTGGAATTGTTGCTGGTGACAGGTGCTGTGTTCAACTTGTTGTGTGGTCCAACAGATAATGTTGTGATGAAGAAGATCGAGGACTATTTCCAGCACAGTGTACCTGAGGTGTGTAACTGAAACTTGTGCGTGCTTTTATCTTGTGCTCTTATGCGTAAACTTACTGTATACTTACTACTATGTTTGTTAATTTTAGGTTCGGAATTGGCAACGTGAAGAAGATTTTGAGGCTGCTCTTAAGGATGCAGGTTTACTTTAAGTAACCACCGAAACTTGTGGTGAGCAGCACTCTCCAGCCCAGGACAATTCACCAGTGATTTTTTGCTGAGCCTGCTGCACAACGTTATTGTGCTCTTCTGCTCATCCTCTTAGCAGCACCGATTTTCACGGGTGATTTTTTGCTGAGCCTGCTGCACAACGTTACTGTGCTCTTCTGCTCATCATGTTATCAGCACTGAGTGTTTTGCAGCAGAGTTTTGTGGATTATGTTAAATGACTAGGACAATTATGGTGTTATGAGCTTATATGAAACAGAGGGTTGTTAAAAGGTGCTTCTTTGCCAATCTGCTTGTAGCGCAGTTATGAGCATTACCATTTGAAACTGTAAATCTTGTTATTAAAGAGTTAACTGTCGAGATGCGTGCGTTACGATCTTTTTTACAGTGATTGTTTAAAGAAAATGTATCATCAATGTACACTTAAGATGAGTCTTCGATCAAATTTTGCTTTCGTTTCCTGTGCTCCATCCCGCGTCATGTGACAAGCGGTGGAGCCGGCTTAATGGCAGAAATGGCTCACACGGACACGCCGTCGGACACTGCTGGGCGGAGGCGGAGTCCCGTAGGCCGCCGCTCGTGCTAACGAGCTATGCCGTGGCATAGCCATGTGACCGTCGCTGGCCAGTACAAGCTGCTTCCCACGGAAAGAATTATCTGTATTAATCTATCTCACTGGAGACCGGGGCCCATTAACATGTATACGATAATGTACACATGGAGATGCCATTCGATTCTGTAATTCCGTTCACCCAAAAGAAGAAAAAAAGTTACAAGTTGTCATGCTCGATGACCTGTGCCGCCTTCCACTCCTCGCCTGGGTTGACGACGACGGGCACCAACATGGACGCCATCCCCGTGCACAGGAAGTAGTCCTTGCCGAACTTCTCGTACATGCCTCCCGGGCTGCACAGGTACATGTCGTCGAACCCCATCCTCACCAGCCTGAACCCGAGCCCGCTATACTGCAGATTCACGGCAGCAAACGTTGTGATTCAGTATCGCGAGAGAGGATGGATAATCTGCATGTTGAATTGTTGTTGATGATGATGAGGACCAGAGAAAGAACGTGCGCTCGATCGAACCTGATCGATGGTGGTGAACTTGGACGGCGCGGTGCTGTAGACGCGCTTCTTCCTCTCCTCCGGCGGCGCCGCGTACACCCGGCTCACCTTCTTCTTGAGCACGGTGTAGAGGTCCTCCTCGACGGTCCAGACGCCCTGGCGCGGCTCCTCGCCGCCGCCGCTGAACCAGCCGGGGTCCTCCCGCATCATGGCCTCCGCCGGGGACAGGAGGCTGAAGGCGGCGGCCGGCGGCGGCTGGGAGCAGTAGGGGCAGCCACGGAGGCCCTCCACGGCCGTGCCGCCTCGCTTGTCGAACTTGATGTGGCTCAGCACCGCGCCCGTCAGCTCCACCGGCTTGCTGCCCGTATTCCGGACGATCACCGCCGTCGCCATGCTCACCCCGTACAGCGTCACCACGTACGAGATGTCCAGCTTCCCCTTGGTGCACCCAAGCTCAACCTGAAATATGTTTCACGGTAGTGCTTCGCATATCGTTTTTTTTTTTCAGGAGAAAAGTACCAAAAGAAGAGAAAAATGCACCTGCACGGCGTCGTAGGAGTCGGAGTCGGCGTCCCTGACGGTCCATTCGGCGCCGTCGACCAGCGACCACTGGGCGGCGATGCCCGCGCCGCCGGACGAGGACGACGCCTCGTTGAGGACGAGGCCGACGCCGCCCTTGCCCGCCACGGTGTACAGCACCTCCCGGCACCCGCCGTCCTTCCAGTACACCTTGGGTTTGTAGGACGTGACGAGGCCGTCGCCGAGGCGGAGGTGCAGCGAGCTGCCGTTCCGCACGCTGAGCTCCGCGGTGGGAGCTCCGTCGGCCGGATCGGCCACGAACCGCAGGCCCTTCCGCCCGAACGACTCCTCCAGGGACTGCGCGGTCGTCGCCGTCGCCGCCGCCGGGGCCGCGGAGGCGCGCAAGGCGGTGCTGGCCCGGCGTGCGCAGGACGGGAGGTGCAGCGGGAGCACGGAGGAGGTGGCCATTGGGGCGGGAGTGGGAGTGAGGAGAGTGTGATGAGGGGGATGGCAGAGGAGGATCAGAGCCCTCTCCAGACGCGGGGCGGCGTTCACCGCAGCCTCATATCCTGGAGCCTCCGGATAGATGACACTTTCAACTTTCTCCCTGTCGCCTCCTTCCTTCGTTCTCGCGCTTTTTCGTGCTCTTTTCCCCTCTTCGGTAGAGATGCTATGTATTATACGCCAATGTAAAAAGAAATTGTTATATTTCGCGTGCATGAATTTTAGATGAATCTTATACAATAATTCAAAAGATAACTCTTAAGAGACATTTTTAGAGAGAGAGTTCAGTGTATGGAGGCGCGGAAAAGGTCCTAGGGAGTAGGGACCCGTACTCGCGAGACAGTCGTCTCCGGCCTCTGCCTAGGGCCCTCTTATTCTTCTCCGGCGAGTTCGCCGACGGTAAGGAATAGGGGACCCTTCTCTCATTTACAGCAGTTTCCTTATCTAGTTTACTTTGGTTTAGTTCAAACAATTCTACTAACGAAATCATATAATTTTTTGTTGGATGTTTGTTATCTATGGTGACTTTGGTGATGACCACGTTGAGGTCGTCATTGCAAGCCTCAATTTCATCGCAGGAGGTTAATTTGTGGACATTATCTATAAGTAAAGAGGTGCTCCAAATCATCGGCCTCATCGTTGATGGTGACAAAGCAGAAATCAAACATCCAAAAATGACGAATAAGGTTAGAGGTGTTGAATCTGATACCTATGGTGTTCCTAATGATTTTAACTATCAATGTTATTTCATCGCTTTTGATGTGTTTTGAATGGGTTCCGAAACATTGGATCTTGCAACATATCCAATGTTCTAGGGTTGACCATATAACTTTGGCATAAGGACTGTACTTTGCTTTCGGTGTTCAACAAAACTTTGCTAATTTGAAGCATGTCTACATCGAGGAAATTCAGTGGGAAAGAAGATAGGAGAATTTAGATACATTGTATCGATTTTATTTTATATTTTTCATGTGTAATTTGAAATGTACCGTGTGAAGTTTTAATATATTCCCCCTTCACTTAAAAAACTCTTAAGAGATATTTCATAATATTTTTTATAGTTAAACAATGACAAAATTATCTATCATCTAAACAACGATTAAAAAATCAGATACCTCATATAAGAAAAGTGAGAGAGAACAAAAATGTGGCCGTGTGTCACAGCTCACAAGTGTATAGCTTAAGAATGTGGAAGCACAGCAGATATTTGCAAAGTGTGCTTGTATGCAACTCCGCGGATAGGATATTTATACAATATTATCAGAAAATCAATCAAAAAGGTCAGGATGGCCGAGTGGTCTAAGGCGCCAGACTCAAGTTCTGGTCCTCTAACGAGGGCGTGGGTTCAAATCCCACTTCTGACATAAATTTTTAATGTTTTTCTTCTTTTTTTAGTTTTTTTTTTTTTTGCATCTGAGACAAAAGTGTCACAACATAAAAACTTCTTTTTCTCCTTTTTTCTGTAGAAGTTTTACAGTGCTTTCACATTGCAAAATTTTGCACAGACAAAAGTGTCGCAACATAAAAAAAAAAATCCCCTGGAGTTCTATAGTGCTTTAATATTGCAAAACTTTGTAGAGACAAATTGCATTTGAGACTAAAGTGTGACAACATAAAAACTACTAGGTTGCAATCCTTCCCTGCTCGCTGTGCGCAACCCTATATAAAAATCGGCGTTCTCGACAATCAAAAGTGTTTGTCCGGACAAGTCGGAGCGTTCGAGAAGGGGGGCACTTTTTGCGATTCAGCTCCTGATTTCTCTCTATTGTTCACCAAAGTGTTCGGTAAGGCTTCTCTCGCTCGTCCACAGAAGTTGTTGCCGGAGCCAAAGCCGTGCTAAACAGACCCTACTTCTCTTGCAAGCGTGTTCGGCTGAGCAAGTTCGGCTTGTTTTTCTATAATAAAATTTCAGCGTAAACAGTGTTTCCAGCATAAACAGTGTCATGTTTCATCCCAGCCGAACAATCATCAGTAACCTGCACCTGCTACTTGTAGCACAAATGTGTTTCCTACTTTGACACGCCCCAATTTCTGTCACCAAATTGATGGTCATGAATTTGGGCAACTTTACAGAGGTGATGAATTAGGACAACTTTAGAAAGGTGGCTAATGCAGAGTGCCAAGCCAAATTAAGCAAAGCAGACTACGGCAAAAAGCGGCCCTTTTGCTTCGTCATCTTTGCAACAACTCCCTAGTCCCCACTAGCCCAATGCGGCGGTGGTCTAGTGGAGCACCGAACCGAATCCAGCGGCCGAGCACCATTCACCATCACCAGACGATGGACGGATAGAGAAGAGAGTCCGCAATAATCAAACCGGAAAAGGAAAGGGGAAAAGAAAAGAAAAGCTCCAATCTAACCCACTTTCATTAAGATCCACTCAATATAACGACGAACAGAACAGGGTATACTCGACCCCGATGACGCAACACACACCCAACCAGACGGCCTTCGCAAATCCTTTTGTCCAGCCACAGGTCTCTGGCATTCTGATACTACGGTAGAAAAGAGTCTTCGGGCTATAAGCAAACTGAAACGGGGAACACAGCGAAAAGAGAAACTAGGGAAAACGCTAGCAACTAGCCAACTGCTCTCCAGTAGCGATGAGATGGAGCAGCAACGCTCTTGGGGCCATGCTGCCCAGTTCCACAGCCTGCCTTGGTTGGTCACCAGTTCCCTTGTACCGCGCGCCTCAGTCGAGTCTTCAGGACATCCAACCTCGCTTGTGGCTAGCTATGGAGTATTGGTTAGGCGGTCGAGCTAACCGGTCTTGGCGACTCCGTTGGCAAGGATGGGTTTCTCTGTTGCTGTTTGGGCCACCTTTGCTGCATAGGAAACAGCAGGAGTGGTGGTGACTCCGTTGGCGAGGACGGGTTTCTCTGCGGGAGCCTTCACCGCC